ACGTAATAGAAAGAAAAAAAAAGAATACAAGAGAAAACCACACTCAATTCTTATTGATCATGACTTTTTCAGATTTGGCGGGTCCCCATGGGGGCCAGTGGCTCCTAAAGGAGCCATTTTTAAGTTGGGTTTCAGCATGGTTTAGGCATCTGGTGGTTGGGCCGTTGATATGAGTGCACGGCTTCAAGTGACAGGGGGCTGTTATTTCACTGCTGTTGTAGTCCTCCCAGTGCTTGAAGATCTTTGACTGCAACAAACGGTACTTTCTTCTCTGGATGCAGGAAAGCTTGCTGTCACACAATACATGTAGCTGGATCTGGATCGATACAACCCTGTCTTCCTGGTGCAGCAGCTCTACTAGCAGGTAGAAGGGCAGGTGGGTGAGGTTGTTTGTTCTTTGACTGAGGCTGTGGTACCATTCCAAGTTGCGATCTTGTTTGCTTACTTTCTTGTTATGGTTGTGCAGTAGTCTTTTGCATCATTGAAATTGAATTGCCTTATTAGCTTTTTCTTGTTAGAGTTGTTTAAGAAATGCGACACAACTAAACTGCGTTTGGTCTGTACTCATGACCTCAGTCAAGACTCTCCCATACAGACCTCCTGCTCGGTAAATAAAAGCTAAAAACAAAGTAGAACGAATTTCAGTCTCTTCGGCTTGTGGTTTAATGTTATTAGATTATTGGTAGCAAGGAGACCTCGCTTGGTGGCGAGGTGACTTCTCTTGGTGGTGAGTTCATTGGTGGCGAAACTTCCTGGTTGCAAGAATGACCGGTAACCTTTATAGGGGTTTGGAACCCTGATGCTGATCTATCACAGGTAGGGCAGGAAAAAAACCTGGTCCGATTGCCACGGACAAGTAAATTTTGCTCTTGGGCAAGTGAAAATGGAAGTTTGGTGGTCTGGTGGGCAAGTGAAATTAGCCTCAGTGGTCGTGTTAGTGATAATTGTTTTTCTACGTAGCGTAACGTAGAGTTGTGTTGCGTTACGTTCCTTAGAGCCAAAGAGCACAGGCGGACCACCCTATGTGTTTGGGGTTAATAACAGAATCTATGAGGGTTATGAATAAAGCTCTGAAAATTACATAT